AAAACTGTTTTGCACAAATCTCCATTTGACGTACTAAAAAGAATTCCATTAAGTAACAATACTGTACAAAGACGCATTGATGAAATGAGCTCTGATATCGAAAGCTTTTTGTGCAATCATCTGCAAAAAACTCATTTTTCTATACAACTGGACGAGTCAACGTTACCCAGTAATGAAGCATTACTATTGGCATATGTCCGATTTATTGTTGAGGAAGAAATTCACGAAGAATTGCTATTTGCCAGAACTTTGGAGACTGACACTAAAGGCGAATCAATATTTAATGTCCTGAGTAATTTTTTTACGGAAAAATCGATCCCATTTACAAACATTATTTCAGTGGCAACAGACGGAGCTCCTGCAATGGTCGGGCGATATCGTGGGTTTATAAGTCATCTCAAAAGAATTATACCAGGACTTACAGCTATTCATTGCGTAATCCACCGACAACATCTTGTGGCAAAACATTTAAGTGACAGGTTGAACCAATCTCTTCATTTTGTAATAAAAGCTGTCAACAAAATCAGAAGCAATGCATTGAATACGCGTTTATTTGCTCAATTGTGCGACGAAAATGATGAAGACTTCCAACGACTGCTCTTACATACTGAAGTACGCTGGTTGTCGAAAGGTGCATGCTTAACGAGATTTTACTCTGTTTTCGATTCCATATTAGAGTTCTTAGAAAGTAGAGATCCAGATTTAAAAGAAAACTTGATCAAATTCAAAGCAGACATTGCGTATTTGACAGATTTGTTTAAAAAATTTAATGATATTAACTTGCAGTTACAAGGGGACAGCCTGAATTTAATAAAAACAAAGGGGATAATTTCGGCTTTTCTTGGGAAATTGAAATTTATGAAGCAAAACATTAGTCGGCGCGAATTCTCTCAATTTCCAAACTTGTCGCAGGTAGAATGTATTGATGAGGATATCCATACCTACAGTCAACATTTAAGTGCTCTGCATGATGACTTCAAAACCAGGTTTGAAGATATACTGACGATGGATATACCACCATGGATCATAAATCCATTTGATGAAACGGAAGTGGCCAATGTTGTATTACAAGAGGAGCTGCTCGAGCTAAGCACTAATGAGGAGCTGAAGGTGAAATTTAGAAAAGGCTACCCAACATTTTGGCTGCAAGCAGAAATACCCGAAAAATATCCTGGACTGTGGGAAATCGCAAGGAAATTTTTAATAGCTTTTCCCTCGTCATACCTTGTCGAAAGGAGTTTTAGTGCCGTTACAAACCTCTTAACAAAAAAAAAGGAGCAAATTAAACATCACAGAGCGGGGGATTTGCGGTTATTGCTCACAAAAATAAAAGCCAAACATTGATCGTTTGCTGACACTCCATCAGATACATCCTTCCCATTAATTAAAATTATGACCTGAACCTATATTACCTTAATATTTTTTCTTGTAATTCTATTCTTTTAATAAATAAAGTGATATAAAATGTACCATTTTTCGTTTTTATTTTACATATCGGAATATAGGGACAGAACTCAGAAGTGACACAATTTTTATTTTTTGGCGACTTTAAGAATGTGGTAGAAATGTAGCAGCAGGGGGTCCACCGAAACCAGTAAAATTTTGAAAGTGGTCCACGAGAAAAATAAGTTTGGGAACTACTGATATATAATAATGTAGTCTGCTGCTGATGCTAACACGTACCAGAACGTACCTACGTGTTTTGGTGAATTGTGGTATATTGAGGTATTTTTCTGCAATATTCCCTAATGAAACTAACTTATCAACTACAAATATCTAGAGCACAAATTATTTGTTTGAAATTCAATAAATTCTTAAACAAACAAAATTTACGAAAAAGATTATATACGAAACTTTTTTTTAATGATTAAATAAAAAACTTATTGATTTTCCATTTGTTATCGACATTTAATGGTATGCAACCCGTTATACAGCTCGAGCCTTGAAAAAGGTGATGTAGAGGAAGAGAGGGGAGTATTAGAAGAGAACTGTACGGCAAGAGAGTATAATAATTTATTGTTAATATCGGCTGACGAAATAATAGTGTAAAATAAACATAAATTAAGTTAATGGTGCTTTATTTGGACTAAAGTAAAGTTAACAATTCAGAAGTGAGATTAATAACAACGTGTAGTGCCGGGAATCGAAAATAAGTTATATGGTGAAAAATATAGGTTAGACGGGAAAACGTGGACAACGTGGTGGCATAGATAAATGAAACAAGTTTAGATTGGAAAGTGCCCATAAGGACAATGTAAACACTATTTGGCGCTATTCTTGCAACGGTCGCGACCCAAAACTTTTGAAAATTTCGGAGCGGTTCGGCTTTTTCCGGAATTATATCGCCAAATATTGTTTATTCAAATTTATTATTATTTTCGTTTAATTTTATAAATAAAAGACAGTGTGTTGCATACAAGAAACTTTATTTTATATAAGGACGCATGTATGAAATACCTATGAAACATTGGAAACCGACGTTGTGCCACGATTCACGATGGTTTTTGCAGTTCACAGTTCACAGCACAGCTTTTTGAGTTTTTAATGCCACTTTTTCACAATTATCACCGGTTGGAGTAAATAAAACTTAAATTAAACTCACAAGATAGCAATTATTACTTTGAAAATGGACGCTATAAGCACTTATCGGAATTTCTTTAATGACAGCAGTTTGGATTTTGAAAGATTATTATGATTTTTGAAGATTCTGACTTTGACAAGAGAAAATTATTTCTGTTTTTGTTTGCCGTTGTTCTTAGCGACCGCTATAGCAGCGCCAGATCGCGTATAACGGTCGCGACCCAAAGTAATTTCGCGACCTAAAATTTTTACGGGCTTTCCAATCTAAACTTGTTGCATTTATCTATGCGTGGTGGAAAAGGAGTCTTAATCTAGGGACATATTGACCATAGATAAAAGAAAATAATCTTCTATTAAGATAGATATGAAACTTAATAGTAAAATTTTGGGTCAAAGCGCCCCTCCGTGTTCTTAGTAGAGACTACGTTTAACCCAGCGCCTGCGCCTTTTCTGCTGTAAATATTTTTTATGTTTATATTTGATTTCAAAGGATTTAGTTTTAAAGTTACACTGATATATTAGTATATCAGAGTAACTTTAATAAAACATAAGAATATATATATTTTACAGTTTATTAAATATAAATTTTGACTACAATGTAGAAAGTAAATCACAATATTTGATAAAACTTATAAGTATACCATTTTTACAGTTAATAAATAATAAAACTATTTGTGACTATAATATTTAAAATTTAGATAGATAGAATATTAAAAAACATACCGGTATTTGCAGACGCAGGCCCAAATTCAATAAAAACCAAAATTTTTCCTGTGAAAATCGGGCTTTTTTCACAGAAAAGGTATTTTTTGATTTATCAACAATCATTGTCAAGTTGACAATATACAGGGTGTTTTCTAATTAGTCTAAAAAATTGTGGTGTGATTCCTCATGTGTTCTTAAAACAATTTTTATATAACCATTAGGTCTAAAGTACTTCCTTTCTGATCTACAGGGTGTTAAAAATTAAAAAAATCGATATTTTGCTTAAAATAAATGGTACACTACTGTTTTTTTAAAGAAAATATATTTTTTTCTTGACTGGCCATCCTTTTTCGACAAAATTGATCTTTTGAGTTTTTCTTGTTCATCAAACGGTTGCCGAGAAAAAAATAAATATACTTATTAAGAGCCCGCCTTAAGCCGTTTTCAAACGATTTTTTATTTTTTAGATTAATTAGGAAACACCCTGTATATGCATATCACAGGCAACCAAATAAACTAGTAGTGTTTTTAGTGAGTACTAAATTATTTTATCAAAATTTCACCATATAAGTTTCCAGGCAATGATATTGACTTTTTGATCGAACAGCTGGTACGGTTCTTCTTTTAAGAAAATTTGGTCTGAAACAAGCAGTAAACCCAGAGATATAGAATAAACCAAGGCAGTAGACAGTGTTCACAATTGACAGCTAAAAATAGAACTGAAGTTAGGTCAAAGAGTAGATAAGACAAGAGACGACAGTTCGCGCGGTACCTTTCATGTTTGAGTGGTGGGGAGAGTGACCTCGTCTCGCTTGTCCCTTTAAATTTTCGTAATTTTTTCGCGGGAAATTTGAAATAGACTTTTATTAAAATTTTCCTGTATAGCTTATAAATAGTTACTGTATGGGTAAAGAGATAAATAGAAACGAAAAAAAAATGAGTTTTCTAAATATTATATAAAATAAATTATAATTAGAAACATATTTGTCGGGGAATAAAGATAACAAAAGCAATACTTTGTGTATCGTTGGTAAACAAGAGAAAGCGACTAGAGTGAAATATTATGTTTGTCGAAGAATAAGACCTATTTTTGCAGTCTTTATAAGCACACACATTGCCACCATCTCGTCTTTTCCTGCTACTCGTGTCCTGTTCAGTATTCATATTTAGCAATACTTACAAATTAGAACGCAATAAAAACGATACTAAAATTAAACCTTAAAAACTCTCAAAACCATAATATATCGAAAAACTCTGAAAACACACTTTAAAAAGGCAAAAATTCAAGAAAACAACTAATCAGATTTGTTTATGTTTAAGCTTGATTAGCACAGCTGATTAGCGTCCTAAAATCATAGGTTAGAATAAATAAAATGCGCCGTTGTCAGATTTTCAGATTTTATCTGTTTATCTTTGAAATCGATCAACTTTAGCCATTCTGTTTCTTTGATATTATCACTACATTGCGAAAAAAGAACCTAAACCAACCTAAACTAAAAATTTACATTTCCGTTTTAACATACGTTACTTATATCCTTCTTATATTATTAATTTATTTTCAGAAAATCTTGTTTATTTTTCAAAGAAATATACTTGGCAACAGACAAAATGGAACTTGACGGGACCTTTAAATTTTAATATATCTGCGTCTCTCTCGCGAAATTCGACTTCTTTGTTCACTGTCGTCTCTTGTCTTATCTACTCTTTGGTTAGGTGAAGATAAAATTGACGTTTTGTGAAGGACAAAAAGTGTTGTTTTGAGAATTTTATTCTGAATGCCTCGATTTAATCAGAATTTTACAAGTTATTCCGGGGAAATGGAGAATCCTAATTTTACAGAAGCTTCTGGAGCTATGGAATCGTCAGATTTAGCAAAACAGATGATGGCTTTGATGCAAATGATGGAACAGAACCGTATAACGAGTGAAGAAAGGTTAACGAGACTTATTCAGCAACAAGATAATGTCCAGAAATACCAAATTATCCCAGACTTCAGTAAGTCTATTAGTGATTTTAACGGAGAAACATTGGGGAAGACTGCAATGGATTGGTTGGAACAATTGGAAACTACTGCGATAATACATAAATGGCCTGAAGAATTCAAGTTAGAAACTGCGAAAATACATTTAGTTGGAGCAGCTAAGAATTGGTATATGTCAAATGCCAGGGAAATAAAGGAGTATAACGATTTTAAATCTAAGTTTGAGAAAACCTTTAAATTAAGAATTAGCATGACTGAAATTTGGGAGAAAATGAAAAATAGAAGGCAACATAGGTCGGAAAGTATTTTTCTGTATTTCCATGATAAAATCTCTTTATGTAAACAACTTAATTTAGAATTCGAAGAAATGAAAGAACAAATTTTGATAGGTTTAATAAACAGAAAAATCATTCCAGGTTTAATGGCAGTAAAACACAAGGATGCAGACGAATTATTGCACGACATTGTCAATTTTTCTAAAGTGGAAGATCAAGCTAAAAAAAAATTGCTAAGGAAATCACTTTAGATAATGTAACAGCTAAGGTAGATGTCTTTGTAGTGCCGAAGAATGCTCAGGAAGTCGATGTCATTTTGGGCAGGACATTTACAGAGCAGACTCATTTAGCTTACTATAGAGTTGGAGATCAACTAGTGTTTGGATACTCAGAGACACAACCATTTTGTGATTTTCCAGAAGCAGATAAACAAGGTAAACATATACAAATTACCAAGGGACAAGTCATTCGAAAGAACCACATTAATGTGATTCAAGCAGAAATAAAAGATCATAAGGCATTGTACGTACCAATACTTAATACCACAGACCATAATATAGATATATCCGAACAAAATATTAAGTTACGTGGAGATCAGGAATATACAGTACAGGCAGTTAGTGACTGTGAACGGATTTCTAAGGAAATGCTGAATGTGGATAAGCATACACCTCACGAACATGTGGAAGACTTATTAAATTTGGTTAATCAGTACCGATCCATATTTGCATTGACGTTGAAGGAGATTGGATGTACCGATTTAATTACGATGGATATTGTTGACAATGACATACCAGTAAGGCATAAACCATATAAAAACTCTTACGAGGATCGACAAGAAATTAAATGACAGGTTGGTGAACTAAAACAGTTGGGTATCGTTAAAGAGACAAATTCTCAGTACGCAAGCCCAGTGCTATTGGTTGGAAAGAAAAACGGAGGAAAGAGGTTGGTGGTGGATTTTAGAAAATTAAACCAACAAACGATAAAGCAGAATTTCCCTATACCACAAATTGATGAACAGTTTGAAGGGTTAAGTGGCTGTACACTTTTTAGCACGTTGGACTTAACAAGTGGATATCTCCAGGTACCATTGACGGAGAAGGCCCAGGAGAAGACAGCTTTCATCACCAATGACGATACAGGACAATTTACTAAAATGGTATTTGGATTAACAAACGCACCATATGAATTCTCGCGACTCATGAATTTAGTATTAGGTGACTTAAAGAATAAAATATGTGTTAATTTTTTAGATGATGTTCTTATACCAGCAAGGGATTGGCAACAGATGCTGGAAAGATTAGAAATGGTGTTTGAAGCGTTCCAAAAAGCCAAATTGACCTTGAACCTTGGAAAATGTGTTTTTGGCAGTAACACGGTAACCTATTTGGGATTTGAATTATCAGAAAAGGGTATATTACCAGGAAAGGGAAAGATGACAGCTATAGAGGGACTATCCAAAACCTAGAAACGCTCATGAGGTTAGACGATTCCTTGGATTGACAGGATTTTTAGGAGATTCGTAGAAAGGTATGCCGTTATAGCTAGACCATTAGCCGACCTAACTGGAAAGGATAGAAGTTTTGAATGGGGTAAAAGGAAGAGCAAGCATTCCGTGAATTAAAGGACAAATACTACATGCACCAGCTTTGCAGCTGTATAGTCGAAGTGCAGAAACGGAACTACACACTGATGCCAGTTCTATCGGAATAGCAGGGATGTTATTGCAGAAAGGTGATGATAACAAGATGCATCTAGTCTATTGTGTATCCAAGAAGAACACAGAGGCGGAGCAAAAATACCATTCCTACCGCACAGAACTACTGGCAATAGTTTGGTCAGTGGAGAGACTGAGAGCTATGTTATTGGGAATTCATTTTATCATATACACCGATTGTCAAGCTTTAGTATACCTAAACGCACATCGAATGAAACCACAACTAGCCAGATGGTATGCCATATTGATGGAATATGATTTCGAGATCAGGCATAGAAAAGGTGAAAAGATGGCACACGTAGATGCATTAAGCCGAGCACCAGTAGGTGAAATGGAACATCTTAATTTAGGAGTCTACAGTTTGCTAGAAGAACACGATAAAGTATTAATGATACAACGAAATGACGAAAGTATAAGTACATTAATTGATATTTTGAGAAAGAATTCCGAAGATAGGAGCCAAGAAGAAAGAAATAAAGTACAGAATTATGAGTTAGATAATGGCAGATTGTACAGAAAAGTTGAAGTCAAGGGAGAACAGAGATTGTTATATGTAATACCACCGAATATGAGGAAATCCATAGTGGTGAAATATCACAATCAAATGGGACACTTTTCAGTTGACAGAACTGTACAGAAAATACTAGAGACATGTTGGTTTAAGGGTATGAGAAGATATGTCCGAAGACATATACATGGATGTTTTGAGTGTGCTACAGAGAAAACACCAGGAGGTAAGAGACCAGGACCCTTACATCTAGTGGATCCACCTTCAAGACCAATGGAAAGAGTTCATGCAGATCATTTAGGACCGTTTATCAAAAGTACCAGAGGTAATTCCTATATTTTGGTTTTTGTAGATGCTTTGACCAAGTTTGTAACCTTATATCCTGTTAGAAGTACGACTAGCAAAGAGGCAGCCATGGTATTTAAACATTTCATTGATAGATATGGAAGTCCTAAAGTAATTGTTACTGACAGAGGAACTGCTTTCACAGCTGATGAATTTGAAGAATTTTGTTCGAAACGAGGTATCAAACATCATTTAACTTCAAGTAAATGGGCACAAGCGAATGGACAGGTTGAGCGAGTTAACAGGACTCTTGTACCAGTCATTACGACTAGTTTGGAAAATGAAGAAGAATGGGACAGTAAGATCAAAGAAGTAGAACGAAATTTAAATCTTGCTGTAAATCAGACAACAGGAAAGTCGCCATATAGATGCCTATTGGGATATACACCGAGGTTTCAAGATGCCAAGTTTGCGAATGAAGTTGTAATAGAAGAGTACCAGAGACCTGAAATATTACAAGAAGAAATTCAGAAAGAAATTAAAGAAAAACAAAAGAAATGGAAATTTAGATATGACAAGAAAAAGTGTTATGAACAATTGTCAGTTGGAGATATTGTCATGGTAAAGAGATCACCTGAAGCAACGGGACAACCGACCAAGACACAATCTAAATACAAAGGACCTTACGTAATAATCAGTGACTTGGGCTGCAATATATACAAGGTGAAAACTTTGGATGAAACTGTGCGACAATATACTATGAATGTTCATATTTCACATTTAAAAATTTACAAGAATGCTATAGAAGAAGATGTAAGTTCTGAAGAAGAGGACGAAGATCAGGAAGGTAAGGAAGAAAACGAGGAAGAATACAAATCAGATCAGACTGAGGAGGAGTATTCTGACCAGGAGGAGAAAAGAGAAGAATCAGATTTTTGTGTCGAGACAGATGAGGAGGAAGATCCTTATGAACATGAAGAAATGGAGAAAGAGAAAAGACCACGACGAAGCAGGAAGATCCCAGCAAGATACCAAGACTTTGTGCTGATCGACTCCGAAGACCATTGAAGAAAATCTGTATTTTAATTTGTTTATTTTCTTTTTACTTTGTTTTAGTTTTCTCTACCATTTTGAGGACAAAATACTGTCAGGAAGGCCGATTGTTATCGACATTTAATGGTATGCAACCCGTTATACAGCTAGAGCCTTGAAAAAGGTGACGTAGAGGAAGAGAGGGGAGTATTAGAAGAGAACTGTACGGCAAGAGAGTATAATAATTTATTGTTAATATCGGCTGACGAAATAATAGTGTAAAATAAACATAAATTAAGTTAATGGTGCTTTATTTGGACTAAAGTAAAGTTAACACATTTAATATTGTTTTTATTGTTCATATTTCTCGTACATACAGTACGCAGGTATATAGTATACAGGGTGTTTTAAAAACATGTGCCATCTCTCGTGGGGAGATTCCTCACGGAAAAATAGGACTTATTTTCCATATCAACATAGATCCGATTCTGCTTTGTTTCGTAGCTACAGGTTGTTAAATGCTTGCCTATGAAAAGATAATTCGGGGACCTTTATATTAGAACTTCCACACACCAAACACTTTCTAGTCATTTTTACGAGTATTTAGAAAGTCCAACGAAAAAAAAGTAGAAATATAATTGCACAAACGCAAAAAACAAGCGTCGTTATAGAATAGAAATAAGATTATGACATATGATTACGACAAGATTATGACAATATGATGACAATGAAAAATTGGTTTCCATAACAATGTATAATTTGTACTTTCTAAACCGTATAAAATTGTGATTATTTTGGAAATACGTGCAACTTTTAATGCGCATGTGCAAAGTAAGGTCCTCGGGAAAGATAAATCTATTGAACGTTTCATAAGTGCAATAAAGAAGGTTTGAAAATGGCATGTCGTGATGTTGGAGACATATTTTTTAATGCTAAACTTCTGGTGTTCATTTGTCCACGTAAGTATATACCGGGTGTTGCATCGTCGGACAGGACATAGGAAATCCCATGTAAATTTTAATGGGGTCAATTATTGGCTTCCCTAATTATTTTAGAGAATAATTCTATTTAGGTTTATTGAAGAGCACTAAAACCCAAATTCAAAAGAACAACTTTAGATATTTTTGATTAGCTCGTTTACGAGTTATCGCCGATTTCTTTTTAAATATTTCTCCTTTCTTAAGGCCCTGTATTAACTTCTGAGCACCAGTCAAGGTAAAAGATAACTGTCAAATGAAGTTGTCATTTCAGAAATTTACCTATTTACATAGATAAATGCTATGGATAAATGCAACAAGTTTAGATTGGAAAGCCCGTAAAAATTTTGGGTCGCGAAATTATTTTGGGTCGCGACCGTTATACGCGATCTGGCGCTGCTATAACGGTCGCTAAGAACAACGGCAAACAAAAACAGAAATAATTTTCTCTTGTCAAAGTCAGAATCTTCAAAAATCATAATAATCTTGAAAATCTAAACCGCTCTCATTAAATTAATTCCAAAAAGTGTTTATAGCGTCCATTTTCAAAGTAATTATTGCTATCTTGTGAGTTCAATTCAAGTTTTATTTACTCCAACCGGTGATAATTGTGAAAAAGTGGCATTAAAAACTTAAAAAGCTGTGCTGTGAACTGTGAACTGCAAAAACCATCGTGGATCGTGGCATAACGT